GTAACTATGTTTTCAGTGGTGCTCTGAAGATCTTACATAACGAACCATTATGTTTTAATTTCTTTATATACACACACACACACACACACACTGCAGGTCCCCATCAAGGAAGTCTCTATGTTGCGCCGCCATGTTTCTACAGTAGCCCTAATGGTAAAACTGCTTTACAGAGCGCGTTTCGTCACTACGTTGACTACGTTGACTACGTACAAAGACGAAGAGGAAGAAACGTTACTAGTAGTCCACTTATTATTAGAAGGAAGAAAAGAAGAGAAATTTGGACAAATGGAGGACCACATGTATTATTTAGCACAAGAGCCGAAAAAGTGTAGATGAGACATAACGAAGTATACAGAACTTTGATTTGTGCCAAATAACGTATTGCATATACATATTTTGCAAATATTTTGACATATGGTTATTATGACGGTTAGTTTGCTGTCCATGTAAAGTAAACAAGATGTCTTGTTGTTTGTATGCTCTGATAATGCTAATCCAACACATCTTTGTTGTAGCGTCCATGTCGATTCCACATTTCGACTTAAGAGCAAATGAACACACACTGAAGTCGGAAGAACGACTTCACAACCCAGGAAATGGGACCATCCGAGGAGCACGTGAATGCACCATGAACCATTAGTTGCAATTCGCAACCATCACCATTAGATGCCACTAAAACTTACACACTACTTACACAAATTATGCATAACAATACTATTTACATAACGTAATCACATTACTAAAATTAAGTAGTAAAGCACTGTGTAACTTTATTTCTAACTAAAGTAACTATTACCGCAACATATTTTCCACAAGCTTCAAGATAAAATCATTTTGGGATCCACTTAACAGAATTTAGTCATTTTATATTCACTCGCGTCTCCTTTGTTATGTGAAAAGCCTCACAATATAAGTGAAAATATTAGATCCAGCTCTGCAGTACGTAATGTGTGTGTTTGTGTGTGTGCTGGAGCAGTGTGTGGCCCATGACAGCCATAATGAGGGGATGTGTAGGAGCCTGGGCGAGCCCAGCAGCAGAGCTGGCAGCCAGTCAAAGTCCTCAAGTCCTGAGACAGACATTGCAGCATCATGAGACATTCTTAATCAGGTGGGCCTGCTCCTTTGAAGAACATTTAACTGTGCAGGAACCACCACAATTCCCTTACTGAGATCACTAATACAGAGAGAAAATGAAAACAAATGTGGCAAATGCTGGCTGAATTGTTGGAGGCCTGTTCACCAGATGCACAAGGCACAGATATTCGAAAGATGAAAAAATGTTTCATCTACACCGATTATTGTGTCTGGTATTTCACAAAACCCATGCGTGCCTTTCTCCTCTCTGGACCACCAACAAGGTCTTGCATGAAGGAGCAGCTCATGGGTGTCCTTCAGCCGCATGACCAGCAAAGGAGCCAATCAGCTGATGAGTGCCAAACCAAACCACGAGAAGGTCTCTGCGGCATGTTGCACACAACATCCATCCACTCTCCTGAGGCCGCCTGGGTCACTGAGCAATGTTCTATGAACATGACAAAGATGCTGCTCAACTTCTGTCTCTCTCTTTGTCTGTCCTTTTCTTTTTCCCTCGCTATCTCTACTGTGTGCCCTCTGCTTTCCCTCCCTCCCTCTCTCACCCCTCCCCTCCTCTCGAGAGTCGGAGCCAGCTGAGCGTGCTACCCAAATCCAACAGTTGTTGCGGCCTTCGTTAGCCTAACGAAGGGGCCGGCTCTTTATACTTGTCAGGGAGCAAATGAGTCAAACAAACAAGGGCCAGGGAAGAGGGGAGGACAAGCAAGTGCTGTTCTGTTGAGCTTCACTGGGTTCTTGGCCGCAGCACTTCCCTGGAAACTAGGGAACCCACAATCTGCCTCTTTGATGTCTGATGATGCTCTGGCTTTGAAACTTTGGAAAAACACACTTGCAAAAAGAAATAACATGCTGCTCGGCCTCTGTGGCCACTAGAGGCCGTAGGCACATTCAAAGTGTGTGGGTGCACTCTGTGATGGATCTAAAAGGGAAGTATCATTTGGGGATGCATAACAACTGGTTATGATAGTAACAACAAAGTTAGAGTGTTTTTGCAAGCCTGTACTTGTGATGCGGTCTGTGCATAAGGGCACTGGGTAATGTCCTGCTGGCAGTGTATCTTCTGAATAAATATGCTTCATACTGTCCATACACAAACATTTGCATATGCATGTCCAGACGTACGTACGTACGCACACACACACACACACACACACACACACGCTACTCCCGTCATACTGGGATGCTTTGTCTCGCATTCCATAACTGTCCTTCCAAAACAGACAACCAAGATAACAGTCACAACAACACAGCCCAGGCAGCGTCCACAATCCAGACACATTACTGCAGCACAAGGCTTAAGGAGAAAGTATGAAGGTGTGTCCTTCAGAATGAGATCATTTCACTTAGTGCAGCCTGTCTGGAACAAATGCACAGAACACTCCAAGGCTGAGAATCTGCAGCTCTAATAACAGATTAGCTCTACTGGGGGGTTTACAGGGTAGTAAGGCACAATGCTTGCTCTACTTTCTTACAGTTTACATGTGCATGCTAAACATAACTTATCAGGCAGGAATCAAAAAGCAAGCAAGTGGCATGGGTATGCTCAGCTGACGCGCCAGAGCTGCTGTGCTCTGTGCCTATGACTAGCCCACCATGAAATCCATTTATCATGTAGCACCATTAAATGGGCATTACCGGAGGACAAGGCCACATTCTAACTGTACCTGCTTTTGTTAAGTCCCATTCGAATGCAGTGGTGTTAGACCACGTCTATGAAACACACACACAAAATGTTGATGGAAATATGGAGGGCTATCTTTTGCAAAACATTGAATTGGTGTTTTGAGTCCACACATGGGAGTAATGAGCACGCTGAACACACTTGTAAGTGGTATAAGCCATTTATTATTACGCCCACATGGAGATGTGAGTCACTTGGGTGGCGCCACCACACAAAACAGCTCCACTCAAGGTGCAACATGGGATGATAGCGGTTGAGCGGGGGCAGCCTGGCTGAGGTGATGGACAGTGAGACAGGGCTTCTGCAGGTTCACCTTCTGTGCAGTGGCTCTGGGGCAAACACTGCATGACAGTGACGCGACACTAAAGCCTTCCTGTCAAGGAGGCAGGTGGATGCCCTCCAATCAAAACACAGAGGCTCTGGGTGACATTTCACAGGGCACAGCTGCTGGGCTGCGACAGCATGCCAACTCACTATTCCTGAAGGGTTGTTTGTTTAGTGTGTGCATATGAGTGTGTGTCACAACTAGAAGGGTGTCACTGCTAGAACTCTTGTGTTTGGGTACACTACTGCCACACAACCCAACTGTTTTTCTACCAGTCACTATTTGACTACTGTTATAGTTACATTTTACACTGGCTCTCCATCAGAATCTTCCATTCGTATCAGCACCGACGAAGGTGTGGAAAAATGGACCTGTGCCAGTTTTGCGGCACAAATAATATCCCAGAGAAAGGAACACACACCAGAAATAACTGAGAATACAAATTTATAGACTGACACCTCTTGCTTAAGAAAGGATGTTCCTGTTCTCGTTATTTCTAAAAGAGAGACACAATAATAAACAGTTTGCCACTAAAGCCTCTGACACATGACAGAAATCTTATCAATTACATGAATTTTGATTTATAGATTTTTATGAAGAGCTGCAGGAAATCCAAGGTTGTGGATTAGATAACACCCTACATTTTTGTTAACTACTCCCTAACATTGCGGCAATGGTCTATACTCAACAGAGCTTGTGCAAATGAAACACTAATAGCACCCAACGTTTTATCCATTCACTCACTGGAAGGACCAGGGTGTGTCTGCCTGAGACCAACCGAGCCGAACCAGGCTGACCCTTTCCTAAAACAGCAGCCTGTTATGCTCATAGCCCAAGCCTTGAGGAGGGGGAGCGTGGGCTAACACACCACAGCGGCACACTGTTACCCGTAGAGTCCCAGGAACTCTCCTAGTGACCGGCTGCCATCACCTTATCCTCTGAGTCAGAGTCTTGGTTCCCCCTCTTCCAGTAAAAGCCTTGTCCCTTGGAACTGGGCCCAGAAGCCTTCATTGGTTTATCCTATTTTGCCCATGGTGGTAGTGGAGGCGGTGGTGGAGTGGGCTGTTTGCCGCAGTTTGAAGGCAGCGTTACTATGCACACATAAAGCTGCTCAAAGCCAGCAGGTATGTGAGGAATGCCTCTTCATCCAAACAACAGGACTCACGCCCGACACAGAGCCACGCCACACTACACACAGCACTGTCAGAACAGCTAAATGGGGCCTGCTGTGCAACTGGATGACTCTTTACACTAGATCTGGCAATATCATACAGCATGTTTAAATACGGCTACCTGGCAATGAATCATGCATGTATGTCATTTTCTCAGACATTTCTTCAGCATTTAGAAAACAAATCTGTCAATAGTACTCCTATAGTAAACGATAATCAAGTACCACAAGAATTAAGGTTATGCAGATTAGTGAAGTATTTGAACCATTAGAGCAGAATTTGCAATTTTTAGATTTTACTTTTATGTATGCCCCACAACCGTGGTGTGCATGTATTCCAAGAAACCAAGTACTTGTTTTGCAGTTTGAAAGCATTTCCCCTACATGTATCAACAAGGGATTCTGAAATATTTGCATAACAAACATATTTTAGGGTCTTTTCATATTTTGTGTTTTTAGCCAGCTTGGTTAACCCGCACATTTGCACAGTTGGGGTTCCTAGTATGTGGTTTCTATACTACATCTTGAGTGAATTGTAAAAAAAAAAAAAAAAAAAAGAAAAAAAAAATTACACAAAAGAAACCACAGCGCATAAATAATGAGGTTCATTCAGTAATTATCTTATTTAATTTTGGTTTCCAGCATTTTACATTTGAAACCATCACAAATAAAACTCTTTGTAACTGATATTAAATCAAACTATATAGTACAAACGTTAGCTGTGCCTTTACCTCTTTTATGCAGCCATCCCTCCTTGACAATCACCACATTGGTCATGTTGGTGGGCAGGGTGGAGGATCCAGGTTTCCCACAGGGTGAGACACCGCTTTGTTTCCTAAGTTTCCTTCACGTAGCCCTGTGCAGGAGCCTGGAGACGGGGTCCTGGGGTTTACAGCCGCCTTCTCAATGGTGGTAACCTATTAGTTGAAGAAGAGTAAAAATTAGCCCCATATTGAGGTGAAAGATTTTTTTCCACTTAACTGAATATTAACCCTCAGGTTAGCAGAGGGGAGGCAGTGGAATCGAGAGGATCCTAGAGCTTTCTGGCCCAGAGGATATGTAAAAACCAGAGCTTAGTCTCTTTCACGTGTGGAACCTGCAACCGGGTTGGGACACATTACTTTGAAATGTAGACATTATTGGTAGTTATTAAATACAAAAATCAAATATACACTGCTCAAAAAAATAAAAGGGAACACTTAAACAACACAATGTAACTCCAAGTCAAACACACTCCTGTGAAATCTAACTCTCCACTTAGGAAGCAACACTGATTGACAATCAATTTCACATGCTGTTGTGCAAATGGAACAGACAACAGGTGGAAATTATAGGCAATTAGCAAGACACCCCCAATAAAGGAGTGGTTCTGCAGGTGGTGACCACAGACCACTTCTCAGTTCCTATGCTTCCTGGCTGATGTTTTGGTCACTTTTGGATGCTGGCGGTGCTTTCACTCTAGTGGTAGCATGAGACGGAGTCTACAACCCACACAAGTGGCTCAGGTAGTGCAGCTCATCCAGGATGGCACATCAATGCGAGCTGTGGCAAGAAGGTTTGCTGTGTCTGTCAGCGTAGTGTCCAGAGCATGGAGGCGCTACCAGGAGACAGGCCAGTACATCAGGAGACGTGGAGGAGGCCGTAGGAGGGCAACAACCCAGCAGCAGGACCGCTACCTCCGCCTTTGTACAAGGAAGAGCAGGAGGAGCACTGCCAGAGCCCTGCAAAATGACCTTCAGCAGGCCACAAATGTGCATGTGTCTGCTCAAATGGTCAGAAACAGACTCCATGAGAGTGGTATGAGGGCCCGACGTCCACAGGTGGGGCTTGTGCTTACAGCCCAACACCGTGCAGGACGTTTGGCATTTGCCAGAGAACACAAAGATTGGCAAATTCGCCACTGGCGCCCTGTGCTCTTCACAGATGAAAGCAGGGTCACACTGAGCACATGTGACAGACGTGACAGAGTCTGGAGACGCTGTGGAGAACGTTCTGCGGCCTGCAACATCCTCCAGCATGACCGGTTTGGCGGTGGGTCAGTAATGGTGTGGGGTGGCATTTCTTTGGGGGGCCACACAGCCCTCCACGTGCTCGCCAGAGGTAGCCTGACTGCCATTAGGTACCGAGATGAGATCCTCAGACGCCTTGTGAGACCATATGCTGGTGCGGTTCCTCCTAATGCAAGACAATGCTAGACCTCATGTGGCTGGAGTGTGTCAGCAGTTCCTGCAAAAGGAAGGCACTGATGCTATGGACTGGCCCGCCCGTTCCCCAGACCTGAATCCAGTTGAGCACATTTGGGACATCATGTCTCGCTCCATCCACCAACGCCACGTTGCACCACAGACTGTCCGGGAGTTGGCGGATGCTTTAGTCCAGGTCTGGGAGGAGATCCCTCAGGAGACCATCCGCCACCTCATCAGGAGCATGCCCAGGCATTGTAGGGAGGTCATACAGGAACGTGGAGGCCACAGACACTACTGAGCCTCATTTTGACTTGTTTTAAGGACATCACATCAAAGTTGGATCGGCTTGTAATGTGGTTTTCCACTTTGATTTCGAGTGTGACTCCAAATCCAGACCTCCATGGGTTGAAATTTGATTTCCATTGATAATTTGTGTGTGATTTTGTTGTCAGCACATTCAACTATGTAAAGAAAGGAGTATTTAATGAGATTATTTCATTCATTCAGATCTAGGATGTTTTATTTTAGTGTTCCCTTTATTTTTTTGAGCAGTGTATATTGTACCTTATCCAGTAAAATGGGACACAGCCATAGACAAACTCTTTAAACATCTCAAAAAATTTTCAAAGCAAATTAAATGCATTTAGCATTTTATGTTAGTCAAATCAAATTGCAGTTTTTGGACTTTGTACCACAAGTTGAGCACTTACTCAAAATGTTCACCTTTGAAAGGTCAGAAGCTAAGCAATATGAATCCATCCAAATTAACATATTTATTTTACCATTACAGACTAAATGAAGATGGAATAAAGAACAAATGGGATATTTTGATCCTCACCTGGTAAAAAAAACGCTATATTTTAAAGCAATAAACCATCATATAGATTATAATGCAACTGAATATGTTTTAATTCACTAGAATGCAACTGTAAATCTGATGAAAATAAACTAAAATACAACAGTTATACAATATTTTCAAAATATACCAGGCGAATGTCCATATTTTGGCAATATTTACTGTTTAAAAGGGATACTTCGCGATTCTTATCCATTCCACTTTTTATTAAAATCTGCAAATATTTCCTCATGGGTCGGTAGCTCTTTTTTTCGTGTGCTCTGAAAAAAATCCGGTTTTCCTACACAGCCCTTGGTCTGTAAATTGAGCTCAAACAAATCTGCTCGGAGCGAGCAGCAAGTGGCGTGCTTGAAGCAGTGGGAGAGAGAATGTAAACAAACAGCGGTACATTCGAACATGACGGACCTCTTACTGGACTTTAGCTGTGAAGATGACTGAGAAACAGCCACAGAGGGAAAAAATAAATTACGAAATTTGAAAGGAATGAAAACCGATGCTGAGGTTGCTCCGTTTCTGCTGGACAGGTGAGTAAAGTTAGCTTTGCTGTTCCACATAAACAACAGGTTCAGTATTACTGTCTTGTCTGTTTATTGTCATGTTTGTGATGATCCCAACTGGTTAGCTTTGTTAGCTTTGCTGCAGCGGTCAGTATGTGTGCGGTAGAGAAGTAGTTTGTGTGAACGGAGCCCCGGTGAATAGAGTGAAACGGGTCAGCAATAAGGCTTGTTCAGCAGTAAATATACAGTAGAAGTTACAGTGGCTGGTGAATAAAGGTTTTCATACCGCTTATCGGTATACATTCTGAGTAACGTTGAAACGTTTTTAACTTAAATCAGGAGACAGCTGTGTGGACCGCGGCAGTTGTGTGTGGTGTGTCTATGACCACCAGCTACATTGAGGGGTACTATCGGCAATGGAAAACGGGGCACTGCCAAATAGACTTTATAGACGCTTTCATCAGACGCGTTTCCAAGGTGCTGGCCCGAAGTTACCTTCCCTTCTGTTTGTTACTAGGTTTGTGTTTACTGGCTAATATGGTGAGTGATATCCAGTACAGTGTTTCCCATACATTCATTTATTTGTGGTGGCCCATCACATTATCAGCGCTGACCGCCACATATTGATTTCCTTTTTTACTACTATTTGAGATGGGAAAACTTGTATTTGATTGCAGAGCTGCAGGCAGCGCATATTCGCATAACCCCCCACCGCGCTCGCCGCAGTTACGCTGCGGTAAACAGGTCGGTAGAAAAACATTCTTGTCTTTTCTTCAACGGGTCTGCTAGTGTGACCTTATCACATTTCAGTTTGCAGCATTTCTTTTCTTCGACTGGCAGCTAAGGTTATTTACTTGTTATGGATTGCTTGCGGAAGTTAAGTTTGGGCCAGAGTAACGCGCATGCGCAGTACCGTTTATTTATGTTATGCAGATACTCGGAGCAACTAATTGGCTGATTTTTGAAAAACGGCAAAAGTTTTTTGACAATCGCATGCTGCCCCCAGTGTTCAACATTAATACACTCATGCCTATCTAGGTTTTCATGAAAAACAGTTTCACACATTTTAAAATTAGAATATTTATAGACTCTAATCTAAATCTAATTACACATTTCAAATGTAATCCGGGTTGATAATGGTTACTTATTTTTTTGTAATCCTGATTACATGTAATCCGTTACTACCCAACCCTGCCTGCGACATTGCAAGGTTAAAATATCTGTGTAAGGCTGTGGTTCTTGGCATTAGTACTGAAATCTCCCCATACTGGAAAATTCCATGCTGTTCACACACAACACAACCATTCCTCATAGTTTTTTTCTACTCATGACAGCAGTGAATTAGAAAATAATGGCATAAAACAAATCTTACACAGGCTGCCTAAATGAAGGATGGCTGTTTAGCCTGATGGTTTGGCCAAAGGTATGTTTTTGATCCTATGCATCATGATAATATGCACCTATGATGATTTGATAACTTTATCAAATTTGTTGGATTTTTAAGCAGATAGCAGATTTGTATGAATGGGTCTTGTTAAGCTGTTTGATGCATATTATGTTTTGTTTGCAGGATGTAAAATTTCCAATCCACTATTTCTTTGAAAATACACTAGACACTGATCATGAAATTTACTAAATTATACATTTATGACCATTATGAACTTTTATCACAGAAAAAAAGCATGTCAAACTCAGCAATAACCAGACACATCAAGGAAATCAACCACTGCCAATATATACTGCAAAGAGAGAAAAACGTTCAGCAAACATGAGGGTATCATTTAAAATAATGTTCACATCTCCTACTACTTGTAACTGACTCCTTTAAATTTTATTTAAAAATTTTATTGAATTTCATTTCCTTGTACATAAATATTTAAATGTTAAATCCATTATAGATTTGCTGTCATGCAATGAAGTGATGTGTGCTAAAGCAGAAAAAAACGCACATGTGGCATTATCTTTGAGATGAGATTGTTCTGTTAATTGTGAAGTGATCGTGTTGACTTTGCATCATCTGATTAAAATATTCAGTGGCTACTGAAAAACATCAACTCTTCTCCCACAATTCAACGACAACTAGGCAAACGCCATCTGCTTTTTTTGTGCGATATGATTGAAAGCTCCAGAACAGCTACTAAATGAACAGGTTTAATTTTCAAAAAAACACCATATTTTGTTGTCATACTGCTCATTTTAGCTATGGAGTGATACATCTCAACTCTACAAGATATTTGTTGGGGGTTGCACATGTGCAGGTCCTAGGTAAGGACTACTAACCAATCAGAAGCAGAGTAGGGCGGGTCCTGAAAATCCGGTAAACACGGCTTCGGTTCAGCTGTACACGTTCCCCTTATCAGCTTAGCAACATGGACTGGAGCAAGAGTTTCAGAGTGGTGAGTTATTAATTTGTAACAAATGTATCTTTCATTCACAAAGTTTTAACTGAGCATTGTCTCTACATCACAGTAACCACTTTATGTCCACTGACTGCCTGGAGAGTAGCTAATGTTTGGAAGGCAGAGGAGAGGCAGCAGGCGGACGTCTTGTCACTGTGTGCTGCAGCTCAGACTGTTTTTCCACCGGTGTTTTTGAGGGCGTGTCTGACAAACCGCTTGGTGAGCATTATGAAGCACATTTTGCTGTGTCGTCACAGGGAACAAAGGGAACAGGCAGGACTACAAACGAGCTGTTTTCAGGCAGTTCAGAGCAGTGTTTTCTGCGGGAGATGGGAACTCCCTTTGGGTGGACTTTGGGCTTTTTCACTTTGTAATCCTATTACATGCACAAAAAAAGATATATAACTCAATAAAGGAGAGGGAAAAAGACAAAAAGCATAATATGACCTCTAACAAAATAAATGATTTGTGAAGTGAAGACATATTGTTTACTGTGAGGATAAATAGATTCAAATGTTTAAGAACCTAGATATACTTTGTGCACCGTATTTGTGGTGTGGCTGTTCTAGTCACACCTGACCTGTGGTGGAAGCATTACGGAAATGTTTTACTCAACAACTCACACATGAAAAAGAAAAAAACGAACACTGTCCCATTTACATAGTTGATGTGCAAAAGGGTCTTCAGAGTGGATGTACGAGTACAGCATTTGGAAAAATATCAAGCTACAGCAACAGTCTTCTGTTCAAACTCAGAAGTCAAAATGTGAGCGAACAGAATAAAACTGCACTGACAGTCATCTGATAGTCCAAATGGAGTGGAATTCCATCACAAGCACATCGGTTATTCAACGGCATCATACTAAAAACCTGCAGGCTATCATAACAAAAAAGCTTGACCTTTTGATTCATTGAGTACTTCTTTATGATATAAAGATAGCTTTGAATGCAGGGCAGAAGCAAAAGAATGATCAATTGCCATGATTGTTCACAGAAATGTCACATACTGCACCAGGCAATCTCTGACCATCCACTGAAATCAATTTGCCTGCTGCTGCTCCGTCAGAGTAAGGCCATCAAAAGAGAGCTCTGTTTGAGCGGCCTCATCCAGCTTACTAGTGAGGACAACAACAGGAAGTGGATGTGACTATTGACAGACTACGAGTCATATCAGTGCAGCCCCAGGCTCGAATACATCTGTCAGTGAGTGTGCGATCAACACGCCTTTTGCTGCCATTCTGCTCACTTCCATCAATGAGCAAAAGTGAGTTCTTGAGAGCACCGTTTATTTTTGCTCAGCGTTTTTGTTTATTGCACTGGGGTTGTGGTGCTTGTGTCACACAGTTGATGCTGGAAGGATCTTGGAGAGGGATTTGAAAAAGCATACTGAGTGCTATTCAAACTAGGGATCACACAGACCGTTGGATCCCTTCGGCAACTTAGTGTGTACTCTGTGACACAGGCAAACACACATTATATACACATTGGGACACATCACACAAACAAACTTGAGCGCACACACCACAACCAAAAAAGCAACACATGCACAAGACCGGCTCTGGAGCCACAACAGAGCACTGCTGTTTTAATGGGAGCGACCTGTTGCTACTGCGGCCTGTGTGGAAATGCTGGGATGCTGCCAGCGCTGCAGCCCAGCAGCCACTGAATGAACCCAGTACCCTGACAGCAGGTCACATGGTCCTCAGGCCTCTGGGCCACCGCCTGCCTGCCTGCCTGCTCTACTGTCAGTGCGGCTTTCAATCATTCATCTTTCTGGCTCCAGCTCCGGGAGCCACCCCATTCAATTCAAATCAGTGTCATGCAGGAAAGATGCCACACACTGAGCCTGTCACTGGGCCACTGAGGACAGTCCCATGTATTTATGGCAGGAAGCAGAAAATCAGGCCGACATCACCACACTACTTCCTTCATCTCTGATCAATAGATACAAGTCTGTTTCTGCTCTATTTACTGCTGCAGTTCGGGTAAACAAGAGAGTCAGCAGCTGGTTTGTGGTTACAAAGATAGAACATTACACTCAAATATTTAAAAACGATTCAATGAAATGAGAGCATCAAATATGCTCACCTGTTGCTGGTAAACAGAGCCCTGAAGCGACGCCTGGTTTGTGTTCAAATGCCACAGTGGAACCAGTACTAGTGTGTTCTACTACACTGTGCCAAGTTCCTCTTTCAAGTTCCCTGAAAACACATCACAAATGATAAGAATATTGTGGGTAAGTGTAGCTGAATACCAAACCAGCTGCTGTAACCTTGAAAGCCAAGTAGACTCACTACGTTAATCCTGTGATAACATGAACAGCAAACCCTTTGTGACTCATGTTCATGCATTCATTTTCATGCTGTTCAGACAAGCCACAGACTAAATTAAAGATGGATCACAAAGCTTCACATAAATAGCTGGACTATATACTAATCGTAACATACTCATTCTGTCCTTTAAAAAGGCTCTGGATAACACACAGAATGAGACCACAAAGTCCTGGTCTCTTTGGTTTGTTGCAAATCAAATGACCTGGCTATTAGCGTGATCAACAAGTAAACAAGATGAATTTCACAAATATTTTAGGCTGCGGTGTTCTAAGTTGCATGACACGGACCAAGAAGGGTACCATCATATGATGCTGATGGTGGGCTACCATCCTCCTGTGGTAATAATACATCTAAACCTGTAGATGTATTATCTCCATACTCCAGTGGAGCAGGCAGGACGACCACAATAAGTCTGCCTGTGTACAGGCACAATCATTTCAAACAACATTCTTCAGATTCTGCATGCATCTGGTGGCACATTTGCGTCAACGAGGCTGCGAAGAGATTGGGTGGGAGGTGACTGGTATTTTCTAAATAGAACAGGGAGAGCCAAGCAGTCACTGGCTGCATCATTACGCCAGCTTGTTGCGTCTTCCCCGGGTCACATGCCAAGTCCCCCTGCATACACACACTGGACAGACGATGTCTCATGACCGATAACAGCATTTATACACTAGAAGTGTTAAGGGTACAACATGCCCAGGGACAATGTTCTTTTCAAGAATGAAACTCCTGGGAGATAGAGAGGAAAAAACAGACACCAACATCAGTGAATCAGTGTTCTCATGTTGGGTCTTAAGCTTTGCATCTTGAATGTCCTTTAAAACCTGTGCTGCTCCAATGTGCAGCTGACAAACCTTTTCATTTTGACTCCCACCACATCAGTAGGTTTCACATCGCAGACTGTTCAAAAATAAACCTTCTTGACAAAATGATTTAGTAAAGAAATGCATAACTGTCATCATTGTGGGTGGGATTATAACAGTGCAGGACAGTAAAACAGTTGCACACATGTATTTTGCAATCGTACTGATTACAAGGGAGGAAAATGAGAATATAACTCTATTATACTTTTTCCTTTATACTTTATCCAAACTTTAGACCGAAAAGGCTCTGGGGTCCCATTTTGAGAACCACTACAGGGCAGTATCAAGTCACAACAAAGATGCACTACTTTGTATCACTGAATATGGATGCAACAGTGTTACAACAGAACAGCAACAAGCTGGCGAGGCTAACGACTAAACGTAAAATCATTGTCTGGGTCCATTTCTCACCCAAACAAGCAAACAAACGCAGTGGTAGCTCATAACAATGAATGAGCTGCTCTCTTGTTGAGCTCATTTGTTTTCGTCTGCCTGCTGGGCCATAAAGTACAAGTAAAAACAACTTTCTCGTAGAGGTGAACCGTTTAAAGTAACATGACTGCAGAAATTTTGGCCTGAGGGCTGTCTTAAAAGTGGTCATTGTCAAAACTGAATGGTTAACATCTGAAGATAGACTCACTGTTGTTTGTGGAAAAGCAACACCGCGAAATAATTTACTACGGGGCGTTTATAAGCCCTTGACTTTACTGCCAAATAACTTCTACGGCGACGTGAAGTCAGGAAAGTACCTCATTTCAGGTTTGCATTTAGCGATAGAAAGGATATGGGGCCTAGCAGGGCAGCTTGGGTGAGAATAACCGCATCCCATGTAAGTACAATGGGGACCTACCCTGTCTAGCTGTCGACCTCTTGTAGTTAACCATGCGAAGGAAACGCGGACATTTACCTGGACAGGAATTCAACAATGTGTCCGTCTCATTATAGTGAGCTGTTTCGGCGGTAAATTAAGTTGAGAAGTCCTTCAACAATCTGGACAAAAGTGCTCTCATTTACTCCGTTTCTTTGCCTTTCTTCCACTACACCTCCCAAACGCGCTGTCTGCAATGACTCTGTGGCAGCCTGCTCTCCCGGGTCCTAGAGCCGACCAAGTAAGAGTCACACTCATATGAGGAGTGGTAGGCTGTCAGCCGTCCCATTGAAAAAAAATCCTGCAGTGTTCCTGTAGGGGCTTATTAGGGGCTGCGTGGCCTTGTTGAACTCGTCGTTTTATCTGTGCCGGTGGTTTCCAAAATGGGGTCCTGGGACCTGCAGGGGCTCCGGTAAGGTTTCCAGGGATCCTCAGTACAGTGTGGGATATCGTTGTTTTTTACTTCCTGGAACAATTACGTGAGATAATGTATAAGACTGACTTTTTGGTTTTGGTTTGTTACAGCTGTTCTTTGGTGATTTAATATTGGTACTTTGCCACCTGCTGTAAAATGAGCTGTAGCAGACTCTACCTAATTATTATTTTCATTATAGATGAATCTGGAGATTCATTCTTTGGTCTCTTAGTAAATTGTCAGAAAATGATAATAAAACAGAAAAATAAACCGATGGTCCCCTGATGTGCCAGACACGTGCATTAAGTGCTTGGAAGAAAAGGATATTCAGTATCACTGCGTATGGGATTGCCCAAAAATAAAAAAATGTTGGGAAGAAGTTGTTCTGACTTTATCTGAGATTGTTGGAGTGAAGATACCTCTCCAGGAGGGAATATGTATACTTGGTATATATCCAAAAAACTTTATTGCCCTTTATTGTCAATCCTAAAGAGTTAATTTTAATTGACTTCGGATTCTTGCAGACTAGGAGGATGATTGCTTTGTCTTGGAAAAAAATGGATGTGCCCTCCATACATGTATCTATGCATCTTTTATTGTGTTGGAAAGACTGACTTATATAACCTGGGGAAGGGCTGCAGAGTTTGAGACTGTGTGGAAACTCTTAATAGAGTTTCTTAAACTTTAAAGGGCACAATCAACTTGAAACTGCTGTGTTGACATATGCTGCTGAGTGTTTGTGTTTTATTTATTTAGTATATTTAATTTGTTAAATGTGTGAAGTATGTGAAATGTCTTGTGGAAATTGTGACTATTTATTTTATGGATGTTATTGTTTTGATTGTTGACTCTTGTTTTGATTGTTGTATAAGTGATATAAAAGTTCAATAAAAATATTGTTGAAAAAAATACAAAAAACAGAAAAATGCTCAGGGCCCTAGTTGACATACCGTAGGTTATTTTTTGTTTTGTTCTACCCTAAAATAATATTTAAAAAAATGTGTGTGTATGTATGTATATGAGAGAGAGAGAGAGAGAGAGAGGTATGTGTGTGTGTGTGTATATATATATATATATATATATATATATATATATATATATATGTATGGGTGTGTGTGTGTATATATATATATGTGTTTTGTAGTGTAAGTGTAGTCTGATGAATGATGTTTTACTTTTTATTATTATTGGATAATTTTTTGTTGAGAAAAATCCACAAAGATTATTTGGAAAAATAAGATTAATGCTCAAAGTAAATGATTAAACATATCCGATATGTATCACTGTAAACTCTAGTAAATATATATTAAAATCAATTTGAAAAACTCACAACTAACCACTGTAAGCAGTGTAGGCTTGGATGCGATGCTGCTGTTTTTCTGTTGCTTGTCACCACTCAAGCTGCAGGCTTCTGTTGATTTATGGCTTATTTTTGGAGACACCTGATTGGAGAACATTACAGTAGCCAAGGCTACTAATGCTAAAAAAGACATTCTTTCACTCTGTGTTGCTGTCAGGTAGGAACGGGCACTGACATTTCCAATAAAATGCACTTAAGCCATGAAGTGAAAATGTAACCTTTAGATTTCTTACTTAGTGGTCTGGGGTAAATCCAACGCTTTTACAACCACTATCTCTTTTTTGGCACTTCAGTACACCAATTTCTTCCTGGTTGAGCTGTAAACCTGTTTTTTTTCTGGAGCTTTCAACTGCACCATATGACCTTCATCAGTATGACATTATAAATACTGAGCTCGCATATCAACAGAGCCATGTCCATGATAAATAAGCAGACTTTATCCAGTGATGGTCCCATGGTCAGGTATGAACTCTTGTGCTTGATATTTTAAAAAAGTAGCATCATTGTGTCGACAGGAGACATCAGGACAGATATGAAAGAACATGGCACGTGCTCAGATGAAACTGCAGTAGGGAAATAAAAAAAGGTGAAGACTATATGTGAGGTTACGTCAAATTACAACCCTACACGTTATTCTAGATTATTCAAGATAAACAGTCATCTACAGCCACAAACAACGCCCTGCCGGAGAGGTAGGAGTTAAACCAGTTTAGGACAGGTACAGACAGGTCGGTTCAGTCAGGGATCCTCTCAAATGAAGCCCTCAGATGAATTGTCTACTTGGTCAATGTGTATATAATATTAAATGTTTATACAACCTCTCTCTATAACATTTCACAAACATCCCTATAGCCCTGCTCTATATACAGTTATATACTTCTTACTTATTTTTAAAGATACCTTAAATTTTTATTTATAAGCACGACTTCTTTATCCGCTATGTGCAGTGAACTACAAATATGCATGATGTAAAAGAAACGGACAATGGTTTTCAAAGGTTGCACAATTAAAAAAAAAGAATGTTACAAGAACAGGATAGCAGGGACAGCTGCCAGCGTTCCCTCCGTGATGAAAAACTCACTGGCCTCTACCCTCTGTCTCTCACCCTCTCTGTTGTCATTTCCCCTCTTTGTAACTTACACTGTAATGTTTTCCCTCACTGCTACTATGTGTCAGCCTTGCCAAGCTGTTCCTGTCATACAAACAGAGCTGAGTGAGGGTATCCCATATTTTCTGATGTTGTTATTCAGTGGTGGTGCCCTTCTCCTCCTCCTCCTCCTCCTCCTCCTCCTCCTCGGCTGTCTCTGGTCCGGTGATAGGAATGCCTACCCTGTTGTTCTGCAGATTCAAAGCAAAAGTAACAAAATCAAAGGCTCAAAGTGAGTTGATAATGCCCTTCCTGTCAAAGACTCATCTGATCTCTTTTCTTGCCGGCTTGCGCTATCTGTTCAGAACATAACAAACACGAGAGAACAGAACTTAATGGGCTGTTGAAGGAGAATAGATAACATGCGGCAACAACAATTAGACACAGAGGGCAGGAGGGCCATAATAGGGAGGAAGTAGTGGGGGGTCTGAGCAATACAGTATCTCCCGGCAACTGTGGTGCAATGTTGCTACAACTGTCACATTATTTTCCAGGATGTATTATCCACCTGTTATGCAGCTTTGCCTACAGCGCCAAAGATTTAAAGATTTAATGTCAGATGCACAAAGAGTTTGTAGCATTGTATAAACAATTTCCAGGCACACTGTCCTCCATAAAAATAAACTAAAGTCAAGTCAAGATAATCAAATTTTATGTATATAGCCCTAAGTCTTTACAATCAGTACAACATATGCCACCTTCTATCCTTTCAGACCCTCATTTCAAATAAGGAAAGATACCACAAAAGCCACAGCAGAATACAGGAGGGGAAAAACTTGTAAAAAAAAACACTATATAAGTATAAAAATTACACAGCCTGTACAGAGTCCAATGTGCATAGTAGTGTTATTTATAAGTCCAACAGTTCAAATCCGTAGTATAATCGGAATCAGATTAATTGCTAATTAGAATTTAGCATGTAAGGAATTTGCCTTGCTATTTTGGTGCATAGAAATAACATAAAAGGCAAGAACTGCAAAAGTCAAGAAACTTAAATAGAAAACAAAAAAATAAATGGGATGTGCAACAGTATTATGAGTGCAAAACAATACAATACAGTATGCTTGTGTAAAAGAGTATAAAAGACAAAAACAACTAATGAATCACAAAGGACAAAAAGTTTAGGGATACTGGGGATCAGCCTGGTGCTAGTATGCAACATTCTCACAAACTCACAAAACTTTATTTCAAAGTATTGAAATTTTGAAGATCCCAGGCTTTTCACAGATACCAAATATGACTTCAAGGATATTCCCATACGATGGAATAGCTAGTACAGCTGTGAAAAAAAACAGAGTGCTGGGTGTAAATATTTCTGCCAAAGTAAGAGCTGGAACAAACTGATACACAATGCAGTCAGTCAGAGTGGAATATTGTGACTTTTCCAAACTTAAAGCTGCTTAAGGGAAAATTTAAATAAGAGAGCTGCACGTAAAGAGCTTTTAAGTTTATTTTTTAATGCATAGAGATGCATTACAAGCATCCTCACAGAGATATCTACAACGCGACTCAAGCCCACCCCTATGGTGAGACTTTGGTCCAGTGGGGAGAGTGATGTGGTTCAACTATGGCTGGATGGCTGGCTGGTTGGCCGGTCAGGCTACACTGGAATGCGGGGTCTTTTGTTTGTCTGAGAGAGGAGTGGGTCAGGGGGAGAATGCCATTGATGATTGCAGAGAGGAAGAAAGAACCTCCAGGAAGTGTTCTCTCTCTCTCCCCGCTCCCCCACTCTCCCATTCTCTCTCCCTCTCTCTCTCCATCTTTTACTGTGTGTGAGAACCTCCACCGTGCCGAGCCTCTCTCTCTGAGGCCACGGTCCCCAGGCACAACCACTGCTTTGTCTTGCCCTGTGAACACACACCCCTCCTCCATTGGCCGCCTACATTTGCCAGGGCCAGGGAAACACAGGGCCACTGCTCCTATTCTTATCCACATCGCTGCTCCTGCATTGATGGTGTGTGTCTGTGTGTGAGTAAGTGCTAAATGGTAAATTGTTTTTCATGTGGCACACACATCTGATGCTTCAAGATAAACAACTAATTTACTGGTGTTCTGTCAAAAGTAAGAAGTCATTCATCATTTTGTTTCTTGCTCAATTCCAATCAAGCCCTTAGACCAAATAAAGATTATTTAGGAAGCATGACACTGTCTTGCTTATGGTCATCTGGAAATGACCAGAGTGCAGATATCCAACCTACTGTAACAGTAACAGCCAGACTAAAAATGGAATAAAGCAGTAAGTGAATAAGAATCTAGCTGGTGGCCCCTTCTGACCAGTGGCTGCCGCCTCCCGT